GCATATAATGCAGTTAATAATACATGTAAAAGTGAATACGTAAAAGTTAATACATTTTAAATTGTTATTGTAAGTAAATTAATAAATCAAAACAAACTTAACGTCTCCCTCAATCTCATTTGCGTAAGAATTGTCACGTGACGAATCTGCATTTTGGTGGATAATAGACTTAACGATAATGCTTGCCTGTTGTGTGGAATAAAATGATGTTCTGCGTTTTTAACAACATACACGAACTGCAGAGAAATCTGGAGACAACGAAAAACTCTGATGAAGATATTAATGCCGTGCTTAATGATTCCGGACTCTGACAATCAGATAAAGGTGATCCACAGGACGCAGCAGGTTTAGCCGCACACTACTTTTATGCCGACCATTTACATCCAAATGTTATTTAATTTTCACAGAACACAACCTTTAAATAGATTTTAGAATATAAACTGTCTATTCAATAAGACTAAATAAAAAGTGTTCGCCTCATTGTGCATTAACTTGAATCAAGGCCTACAAATGTCTGTTTTAAAAACAGAGGATGAGAAATTCACTCCTTGATTTGCTTAATAAAAGCCTCCTTTGAGATCGTTTTGACAGACATGTTTATTGTGTATTATTTTCAACGTGTTTATTGCTAAGTTTAGTGTGGCAAAATAGAAGCAGCCGTAATTCGCGTGCAGTGTATCTGGTTGCCATGACAACCTCACTGCTGCTCTATGTAATCAGAGTGTGAATTTGTAGATTTTCGATAGAAAAAAACTAAAATGTGTTTAAAAGTGCGACTGACCAAATCGTCCGGTTCGGTTTGTCGTACGTATTTCCCCCCCTTAGCGGCGCCCCTGATTGGCATTCTGTATTGTCATGAGGTATGCATACTGTACTGTGGGGGGAAAAAAATGCTAACGATTGTTTATAAAATTATTTTAGGACTGTGAATATACCACTCTTACAGGACATTTGATTTATTTACCATTTTTGTATGGTAAAATATGTTTGCTATGTGGTGTAGCATTTGGACCAATCAGACACACATTTGTTCATTAGATTTAACAAAT